TTTTGACAGTGGGTTTCAAGCCGTGTTCTGTGAAACCATGGGGTTCCACATGTCAAATCAGGGGTTCTGCAGGTGATGCGCTGCCATTGCCAGACTGGGTCAATGGGCTCCATGTCAGCTCTTTAGCATAGGAGGTAGAGGTCCTGCGGCTGGAGTGGCAGCAATACAAAAGAGTTCTGTGACATTAGGAAGTTTGACAACCATTGGGCGATCCAAAGGTGCTGAAGAGAGACAATATGCTATGTTGGACGCATACCAGACTCTAGTATACCCAAAACAGTCTTTTGCAGACTACAGCTACATTATAATGATCTTTTTGAAAGACACTGGAAGGAGAATGACATCACAGCCAAACAAGGCGAGTCTACCATTTGAGTCAGAGGCTACTGTACCAGACTATGAAAAGCACATATCAGAAGATGACATGCAGCAGAAGTTCCCAACCCCTGGGCCACAGGCCAGTACCAGGCCGTGACGGATTGACTGCTGGACTGGAAGCAACTGGCATACCGCAGACCAGCAGCCAACCCTTTTCTATACTCTGTATAAAAGTGGGTCGGCTGCCAGTCCATGGTATGCCGGGCACTTCCAGTCTGCAGTATGCTGGTCCACAGTTTAAAAAGGTTGGGAACCACAGCATATACCAGAAAAAGTGTGCAAGGTGTGCAACCAAAACCCTGTTGTACTGAGGGAGGGAACTTTTCAAACTGCATCCATCTCAGGCAAGTCAGTGAGGCACACTTGAACATGCTTGGTGGGGAAATGGTGGTGGCTGGCAGCCATGTTGGGTTTACCACCAAGGTTGAGGGGGAGTAAACTTTATCCTAGCAAGCAGGATGGAACATGTAGGGCAGTTAAGCCTGAAGCAGAGTGTTTCAAGAGAACTCTGTGAAGGGTAGTAGGGTCTGGTTGACTGAAAGAGACTGTCCTTTTGAAACCAGACTGAACAGGGCTGGGTGAGCTCTGGCTCCTGCTGGCAGAGGGGTAAAAAAATTTGTCCAGCTTGACAGGGCCTGAAAGAGTGGGATGAATTTCAGTTACTTCTCTCTCAACCAAAGAAACCTGTGTCCTGCTCCAAGCACCTGCTGGGGAAAGAAAAAAAACAGAACAGAAGAACAGTAGATCCACCCAGAGAAGATGGATTCAATCTGTGCCAACTGAGAACAGCTCTCAGAGGCTTCAAATGCCCCAATAAGAGGGCAGCAGATCTTATGCAAGCCAAGTTTTAGACACCAATATCAAGAACTAAGCATTAACACCCAAAACAAACTGGAAGTGTCCAGGAGCAGTTGGTATTCCTCTGCCCCTTTTATGGGCTTGGAACATGAGTTCTCAGGGATGCTGAAGCTGGTTTGCAGCTTATTTGCCATCAAGGAGCAATATAATGCTATGTATTATGATCTGTAATGTTTCCTTTGTAAAGTTCTCATCTATTTTTCATTAAATATTTGTTGTTGCAATAAAAAGATAACAAACGAAAAAGTTCAAAATTATTAGTCACCGAGGCAAATTCAATGCCAAGTACCCTATACTAGGGACTGCTGGGGGAGGTCTTCTATGTATGTATATATAATAGTGAACTCAGAGCAGTTGTGCACTTAATATCACATAATCCTTATACAGGAGCCATCAGAAAGTCTAACCCTGCTTATGCAATTCATTCCTACTGATCACATTTTCTGGTGGAATTGGACCAAACATGCCAGTGAATTTTCACCTCCTGTGTCATGCCTCTATTTGACCATTGTTACTTTATTCCTCAATTATCGGTTAAAGTTGCTCAGCATGAGCAGCCCCTGTCAATGCCAATATGTGGGGCCTTATATCCAGGCATCTCAAGAACTCTAAAAAATGTCAGAACAGCCTCCTAATGGCTGCTTGCAGGCATAGATATGTTCAATGACTTGCTATACCATCTCTAAAGATGAATATTTATTTTGGTGCAGTTCAGCAGTGAAAGACAGATATCAAAGGCCAAGTTTCCCTGTTTTGCAGCCTTATGCGGTACATGGGCATTTATTCCACCGAGAGTAAAAACTAGGAATAGAACACAAACGACTGAATGATCTGTCAGTTATAATTAGCATGGAAAAAAGCATGTCCAGAATTTTTCCCCCCTCAAATGGATACTTACAGCTAAGTTTCTAATCAAGTGAATTTAAGCATCTGCAAGCATGCTCAAGTAGCCTGATTTTCACACAGCAGGTTTTGCTAAAAACAGTCAGATAACTTAGTTTTCTACTTAAGAATTCAAAAGCTAGAATTAACATCTCCCCCACCCCAAAATGCATCAAAATGACTACCCACAGAAAATGGCTTCTCATGACATCTTCTGTAAAGACACTCGCATTTCCATAATCTTGCCACGTCTAAAGGAGCGTCTTCTACATTATAGGTTAAATGTGTAGTGTCTTTCATAACTAGCAGAGAAACTATAGCTAAAGAACAATTATCATCACTGGTCTACAGTGGGGTATAGATGGCCATCCTTTTAATTCACATTCTGGTAAGTATGTGCAAGGGCAGTGAATTAGAGAACTGCAGACATTAATGGCCAAGGTATTTCAGGTATTTAAAAAACAAAAACAAAAAACAACCCCAAAAGAAACCAACAACTAACTAAAGATTAAGCAGCCTGCCCAATACCCCTCACCTCTGCCTGCAAAATAGGAAGAGAAACTTGACATACCTTATGAAATTACACTGTAAACTATTTCTCCCTCCAGAAAAAACAAAACAGATTTTGAGCAGGAATCAGTGGCTCAAGGAGCCACTGGATCCAAGCTGGACCCATCAGGAAAGGGGCACAGCAGGCAAATACAGAGGGAAGAACCCCTCCATACATGCAGACATATGCTGGGGGAAGTCCCATGCAGAAGGATCCCCACAGCATGCTTATCATGCTGCCATGCCCAGTCTGCAAACATGGAGGGGGAAAATCCCCAATGAGAGTTCCCCCCTCCCAGGCCTCTCCACAGGAGTCTCCTGCAGGGAGATTCCCTTGCGCCTTGACACAAGCATGCCTGAAGCAGAGGGTTCCCCCCACTTTCAGACTCATGCCCCAAATCAGACAGCACCCATAGCCAATTTTCCCTGTGGGATCAGGTACCTGAAGCCCCAGGAAGGGCAGGGACAACAGCTCTGGCATTGTTGGTAGACATCGGTGAAGTGAATCAGCTGTGCAACACATTATGGCACAGCTGATCATGCTCTGAAGACTAGGTCTTTATTCCACTTTTGCAAACATGAATCAGTATCTTTTTAAAAAAAAAAACAAACAAACTACTCAGGTGAAGAATTCCCTGCTCTTCACAGAAACAGCATTTTTGGGTGCTTTCTACTGTCCTTTATTGGAAATTTATTAACGAACTCTACACTGCATGGTTAATTTTTCATTCTTGAATGTATGCCAAGTATACAGAACATACTGCCATCCAAGCCAGTAGCTACAATCAGGAAAGAGGGGGGGGGGGGGGGGGAAAAAAAAAAATCTTACTTGTCTGGGTTTTTCACTCTGAAAGTTGCACTAAGAGCTTTTAACCTGGAGTCTGCCTAAAAGACAGAGATAGTTGCATTAGATTCACACTTTTTTTTTTAAACAATCACACAGTAAACTATTCCCCCCCTTGCTTAAAATTATTTAATATATAATATTTCAAGCAGAAGATATACATTTCAATGACATCAAACACAATTTCTTATCTGACAATAGGAAGACTAAGGTTTCTTCATAACATACTTCCTTAATCTGGAAAGTGAAGCACCTAGTATCAGGCTTCTTTTAAGGAAAGCCATCACTAGACAACTAAAACAAATTTTGCAAACTAGTAAGTAAACAAAATCCAGTATCATTAAAACTAGTACATAATCCTAAATCCCAGCAAAATGTTTTTTCTTAAAATGTTACACAAACCATAAAATTAAGATCTACAATGCTACATTCTTTTCAGATGATGCAATTAGGTATAAGGCCATATGGACAAGCTATTTTATATATTTTTCAAACCAAATAAAACTAGTGGTGGAAGTGACCTCTATATGCTCTGCATTACTTGAAACAGTTCCCCAGTGAAATCAAACTCAAATATATGGTGTTCTCTCATTTTAGGAGTTACTTTAGAGGTGTATGTATATTATATATAGCCACCTTTCACTGCAGTGTTCTTTTTTTAATAGCTATGAACCTGCTATACTGGATCACTACTAAAAAAAAGTTCAGTAACCTATTTAATGACAGCCAGTTGCTTTAATTATACCCACAATGACAAAAAAGTCACTTCATTAGTGCCTGCAACAGAAGCATGCAATCCTCAGACACCAGTTCTTGCATTTGCAATTACATTTTTTAAAACTGTAGAATTAAGCCGCCCAATTTACTATTTATAGAGTAACATCCTTTCATTTAGCATTAATATTACAGTAATACCTGTGTGTCCCAACAGTAGCATAACCACGAGTGGAGGAGACATCAGGCAAGCAGCCTCAGGCACTGCCTTTTTGTATGCACGGGGGAAAGAGGGGTGGAAAATAGCAGCTGACCACATCACCACAGCAGTTGCTGCCCCGTGTGTCGCAGCCACCCTGCTATGCCTCTGGATCCCAGGCACTGAGGCTCCATTGTGCAAGACACTGTACCTAACAAAGACAGTGCTTGGGCAAAAATGCTTACTAAGCATTCACCCAGTCTTCAGGAATGTTAAAATTCATTAAACATCTTGAGTGATTTCAAGTAAAAATAACCCTGCAATGTGGTCTTAGTTTACTTTTGCTTGGTGCACCTATAGCAGCCATAGCAGAAGCACTCACATTGTGGTCCTGTCAGATTCTAATGAATTTGCAAATTCTGCTAAATACTTGTCAATCTCAGACAGGACACAAGCAGCAGCAGCAGCAGCAGCTTTTTATGACAATTCACCACTGTACCATCTGGCACAAAGACTTTATAGTGCTGAACCCCATGTTCTCCATCAGAAGCCTCTCAACTAAGTTCTGTTACAAGACTGATACCTCTTATTGCACCATGTCTATATAAAAACATCCATGTTTGAATTTCACTTTAAGAAAAAGGATGAGACTGCTGTAAGTCTGTGGAGTACCATGCACAGTACCAGAGTTCAATTAAGACTAATTTGGCTATTGCTTTGGAGTTAATAGCTACCAATGAGATCATATAAAAGCATTAAATCAAAAGGGGATAAAGAGGGGGTTGCCTGCCAGGAGTCACCTCTACAAAACAGTGCCAACATCCCAGAGTGACACTGATAACTCAGTCTCCCTCCAGTCACTTCATCTGTAACCAGTTTGAAAGAGACTAAAATCAATTTGTTTTGAAAGATAACAAAATGGGAGGCATCATGGCTCATATATAGTTCTTCTCTATAAGTGCCTAGCCTGCAAGAAACAATGTGAATCACAACCAGGGGAAGCCTCCTGCACTATAATATTAAACTAAACCAGTATGGCAATTCTAGTCAGAAGGGGCCAAAAAATAAACTCCACAAGCTTGACACTGGACTTGTATCTGTTCAGCTGGCTCACTGCTGTGTCTGCAGTCTAAATTTTGTTCAAGCACAGCTGAAACTTTGGGGCTGGAAACCATCCTGGTCAGTATGTGGTAGAATGAACATGGGGAGCACTCAATAGGCTCAGGTCTGCTTTTTAGTCATATAGGATGGTCCACATCTTGGCCCCAAGAATGATGGTCGGCTGCTACAGAGAACCAAGTCAGTGTACTTAGTGTAAAAAAAGCAAATTATTTTGCCCAAGCAGAGAAACTAAATATAAAAAATACACTCTAAAAAAGGTTTAACAAAAGGAAAACTGAAGGGCTCCAAGCCCTGATATTGTACAAGGTTTTCATAGTTTCTTCCAGAAAAAAACAACACAAAACAAAACCAGCCATGTATAGTTAGACAGCTAGAAAGCAAAAATGGGGCTTATCACACCTTACATTAACAATCTAAGATAGCATCTAATCAGAATTCTTTATTTCCAGTATTGTGTTGCTCTTTGGACTCCTTCTACCTCCAGAGATTAGCCTATATTTTAATACAGACGAGCCAGCTACTTGGAAGTGTGGCTAAGCTTGGTAGCCACACTTACAAGTTTACAAGAAGACTGGCCCATTTCAATTGTATGCAATTGAATTTGAGCTCAGTGAAAGAAGCTTTCTATCATACCTTTCCACTATTCAGTACAATTAACTGCCCCATTCCCACCCCAACCTTGCTGCCATTAAAATAAAAATTAATACACAACTCAGGCTTCCACAGTGTAATGTCATTCAAAAACTGAATTGGTAGAGTTTACTATCCAAATGTTTTGAAAGTTGTGAAGCACTTTCAGTTATTTTAACTTGGCAATTCAGAACTTGTTTCCACATTTTTAACACTTAAAAGGACCGGTACAAAGACACCTTTTGAGAAACACTTGAATTCAAATAGATGTTACAGCTACATCCCAGTCTATAAGACAATTAGTTAAAAAAAAGTGTGGTCACTCTTGCAATTCAAATACCTACTAAGAAGAACCATTTACAGGCTGTTAATATCTGCTTTTGTCAATACTGTACAGAACACACACTTGCATCTCTCAAACTTCTCATTTTCTCTTTTAATAATCCACTCTTCCATTTGTTGTGGCTCCACTTTTTTTTCTGGAATACACAAGTTATCAGAGGCAAGAATTTCAGACTCCACCTCCTTGGGTGATGGAACCCAGCCTCTCTTCCATCAAGAATGCATATTTCTCTCTTCCTGTTCTGCATATTTTTTCCACTAAACTTTTACACTATTCCTAATCGCTGCATGGAAAAAATCTCACTCTCCATTATACAGCTGAGTTCTCTTCATGCTTCAGTGAGTACAGATCTTGTTACAAATGTATTTGAAAGAGTCCATTATTAAGACTCCAGTGTAGTAGGCTTGATCTTATCCTAAAGCAGTCTCTGTTAAGAACAAAATCCCCAGAGAGACTATTCTCATCTTCACAAGCTCTGGATCTTCACACTCCAGAAGTGCCAGTGCTCCACTTTCCGAGAAACTGTTGTGACAGACAAGGAGCTGTTATGTAAGAGTGGCAGGAAAACTGTACGTGACCTGGTCCGGGAGGTAAAGTTACTGCATATCTGTGGCAAAGTTATTCAAATTTCCTGTATGACTGCATTGGTCTAACTTAACGTGGGACTGCTGGAAGAATAAACAGAAAAGCAATGCAGCAGATCTAGATAAGGACACTCCAGGACCAACTGAAAAAGACAATAGGCAAGACGTTAATTTTGAAAAGCTTGTTTCCTCACTGAAGCCTTATTTTGACAGTCAGAAGCCTGAGAACAAATAAACTCTCAAAAGTTAGTTTGTAAGGAGAAAGGACTGTTCACAGGCCAGGGAGACAGGCTGACTGAGAAAGGCATGTTGCCTAAAATTAAAAAAAGGTCTTCCCAAACTCAGAGAATGGCAAAACTTGGAAGAAGATGGAAATGCATACCTGCCACCCAGAGGCATGACTAGAAGATCTGCAGCCACAGCTCCTGAACCTGGTGAGCACTCTTGCACCCCCAATGGTCCCATCTGTCTGCTGTGCTGCAGGTTCCCAAAGCACATGCATCTCCCTTCCTTCCCCATGCAGCACTCCATTCCTCCCTGCTTGGTGCTCAGGGTTACTTCACCTATCCACTCCACTGCCTGCTGCAGAATTGCAGGCTCAGGGACAATCCACTGGGGCAAATTCGGCAGTGAGGGTAAACGAAGGGAGAGAGAGAGAGCTGAGCTCAGAGCAGGGAGGGCTGGAGCACTCCAATGTGTGGGGGGTGTGGTGCAGAGAAATGGCTCAAAAAGGAACTGTATGGTGGCAGGTGGGAGGAACCATTGTGGGGGTGAAAGAATGCCATCAGGATTGGGAAACACTGAGCAGAGCAGCCAAGTGAAGGAGATGCTGGGGGTTTGCCCACGGCTCTTTGCCTCACTCACCAAGGAAGCCTGCAGAGAACTACAGAAAGCACTGGCTAATCGGAGCACTTTTTACCCACTGGAGAAGCGGAGTTGCCAAGCTTCAGAGGGCACATGCATAATCTCTAATGAAGAGAACATGTTCTGAATTCCTGCACTGAGTGGGATGGTTGGTGTGTACATGTGCAAACACTCAAAGAACTGCCAGCTCCAAATCTTATGAAAAGTGATAGTCAAGGCACATTGTGCTGTCACTCTAAAGTAATATTAAAGTCATTGTTGTCCCCCTCTGCCCTTGCTTCTGCATTTTTAACATTCAGAGTGTTGCAGGCTTTTTGTTTTTTTAATTAAAAAAATATAATAGTTGTAGTGAAGGAGGGGGATGTGGTAGTAAGGCAGGAGGATGTTGCAGCAACTAGGTAAAGGCAAGTTAACACACACACACACGAAGTTTTGGATTGTGGGATTTGACTGTTAATAGGATGTGCCTTGCAATTCAAATTCAGTTGTTAAAACCTCAAGATTAATAGAAGCAGATCACACTTCCCCCCCCACACACACACACTTCTTGACAGTACTCATCATTTTCTAGTGAACTCACAGTTGAAAGGCTTCTGAACAACCAAAAAAGCTACAGGATAAAAATCTGGGCATTTGTACACATACCTTTTAGTTCTCAGATGTGCCCGATTAGTCGAGTCTGCTCTGCATGGGAGCCGACACGCACCACGCTGAGCTGTGTGCAGTTGTGTAAGTGGCAAAAATGTGCATCAGCATAGAGAAAGTGGCACCAGTGTGCCATTTTCTCTGTGCCAACACGCATTTCGTCACCTATACAACTGCAAGTGTTGCAGTGCTGGGCGCTTTTCAAAGTACCCAGTGCTGTGGAGCTTGCACATGTAAAAATGCTGAGTTGAAGGCCTAGACTCATACACATCATGTCATTTTGCACCTGCAGGTACATTTGTCTGCTACCAAAAAAGCTTGGGTCAACAACTTATTATATACCAATGCTTTTCCAATGTGGCAAGGTACAGTTTGGGTCACCTATTCATACCAGTTTTCCATTAGCTTTCTCTTCCCCCTGTACTGACTACAGTCATTATCTAGGCAGTATTTCACTGGAGTGTATCCCTTCCAAATTTTTTAGGATAGATACCAAATGCCTCCTCTGAGAAGTCAGAAAAATCATGCGTTTCCTTCAAGGGTGTACGGCAGCAACTCTCTCAAGACAATTTAAGATTCAAGTACTTAAAAAAAAAAAAACAAAACAAAAAAAAACCCTCACAGAAATTTTAGAAAACAAATTAAAAATTCCAGAGAGCTAGTCTGAGACTCAAAAACAGTTAGGTAAAATAAACTAATCCAGAATAAGCCTAAGCAAAATCAAGTCTTGCATTTCCCTGAGGCACTGCCTCATCTCCCATCTGATCCTTTTAGCTGCTTATTCTGGCAGAAAGACATTGAAGTTTTGGCCATCCATTTCTATTCTGTTTGCACATTCTACCTTTACATGTCATAATCCTAGTGTCAGAGCTAGCCCTTACGGCCATCCTTTGAGAGGCCGATTGATCAAGTTGACAAAACCCAATTTTGTTTCCTTTTAAAAGTTTACCAGGCCCATAATTCCATAGGTCACACTTAGTATTAAACACTATACCCACTGTCTATCAAGAGCTAACTAAAACAGGCTTGCCACAGCTGTCCACATGCACAACAATTGCCAAATTTCAAAATAGCAAAAATACACTATTCCCATTTTCAGGGGGCGGGGAAAAAAAAAAATCACATATTTGGTTCTCACAATTTTTTGTTGCCTTTCATATTAAAATTATTATGTCTGTGTGGACTCTGAAGTAGACTTCTTTATTGTGATCAGGCTACTTCACAAGTCTCGGTCCTTCACCTGACAAATGCATACGAAAATTACCTTCAACTGAAATCCAGTTTCATTCACCATTTCCTTCCAGCCACCTTCCTAGAAATAAGAAAAAGTTTCACTTAAATAAATTTACTGTAGAACCTGGTGTGACAACTCCAAGATCCCATAACAGAACCATTTCAAGGCCAAAAGGAATCTGGAGGAACCCAGCAAAGGACATGGAAAGACCAAGTAGCCAACCCTGGTCCAGTCTTGCTCACCCGGCCAGGTTACTGGAAGGAAGTCTTACTGGAATCTGTGTAACAGATCATTCTGAGTACTGGTTTCACTTTACCCTTGAGCTCACTTTGCAAGCTTCCTGCTTCACCATTGGCCAGCAGTAGCCTGCATTATCCTGTGTACTGCAGGGATCACAGCCTTATCTGAAGAGCTGTTTTCATTCTCCAAAAAAGAGAGACAGTGACAGTTTTGTATTTATCCTTCCCAGACACTGCCAACTCCAGGAGCAAGACAGAGGCCAAACTTAGACCTCCCCTGCAATTGGGAAGGGAGTGAAGGGATAACCATCAAGCTAACAAGACCAAATGGAGTGGACAACTTCTCCAAATAGCTTAAGTGAAAAGTAAAAAGTAAAAGTGGATTTGAGTAGTTCAGCCATGTAAACACCAAAGTGGTTTGGAGAATTATTTTGCAGGCTACAAAACGATATAAGACTCAAGTCACAGAATGCTTAAAATTGAAAGTGAAATATCACAACCTTCAGCCCCATGTAAAAGCAGGAAACACCTCACCCCTAAACAACTATAAAACCACTGCCTCCAGTGAAACAAAAAAGCCCCAGACAAGAATGAAATTTAGTCACAACCCCCAGAAAAAGGCCTGTATGCAACAAACAGGGCTTACACAGTGGTCTAAGTATCAGCAAGTTGTTAACTGTACAGGATGTAGAGAACAAGATTTACCTGACGACAAAACACTTGGGATGGGGCGTGAAGTAGTCAAAACCAATGCCACATAAGAACTAAAAAGACTTCACTGCATCCAAAAATTAATTTGGAACCCAGTGCAGCCTGTGTAGCAAAGAATATGGTATGATAAACATTTTTTTTTTCCTCCAGGAAAGAGACTTCCTGGCTGTGTTATATTAATCTTGGGAACAAATCCTGCAGGGATAGGGTAATCTCATTTTTAGGAAGTTTAACTAAACTGGAAAAAACACAAAAAACTACGAGACATTGTAAAACCAACCTTGCCCTACTGAAAAGTAGGCCAGGTAATTTAAACCGTTGTCATGTGTGTGGCAATGCTTTTTTGCCAGAAGCAAAGCAGATACCCATTTATGAGTTAGTCACTTAAACATCATAAAAAAGCATCAAATGGAAAAAAAAAGTAGTTTGAATACCTGTGTTAAAAATGAATAAAATATTTTGTCCTGGCAAAGAATGGGATGCGAAGCCACCCGCAATAGAAAGTTTTCCAATCCAATTCTTCGTCTTTCCACAAAGTCTGGATCCATATTATCAGCTGATAACTTATGCCAAACAAATTCAGCCTGTGTGAGCAGAGCACAGTTAAGAACAGCTAGTCTGTAATAAATGCAAAGGAAAGCATAGTTTCAACTTTCTTACCCTTTTTTCTGGTAAAGGTGGGACCACAATATGGGGAAAGGTAACCAACAAGTAATTCCTCAGCAACTCAAATTCACTGTACCGTCTCCAAAGGGAGTCTACTGGGGAACACTGTCCCTCAGTCTGGGACTCAACTGCCCTGAAAAATAAAACAAATCAGAACTGAATGTTGAATGATAAATTTACAAAAATCTCAGCATCTACATTCTTCAATTAAATAAGATACAAAGTTATTTGACAAAACTAAAAATTTTCCCCAACTGATCACTAGTACAAGCATCATCCACAATTTCTACATGCACCAGTAACTGAAACTTTAGAGAAAATAATTTATTTTCTAGTTTCTTTGAGGCAACTGGCATTTCCTGGCCAGCAGCTAGGATCCAATCCAGCCAGCAATTATGCACGAGAGCAGTTCCATACAGATCAATATGACTAACTGCAACAGGAAAGCACAACAGCACCAATCCTCCAAGAACATTAGCCTCATCTCCCATCAAATTCAGGTTTAGTAAAAGGCTCTTAAAACTCTGCTGGGCTGAACCCACTTGCTTGGAAATTAACTGGCCACTGGGTCAAAATTACAACTAAAGCAGAATCCCCCATTTGATTTTCACACAGCACTTGGAGAAAGAGAACGCTTTAAACAAAAAAAAACAAATACAAAACAAAACAAAAACCAAGAACCCCACACATACCAATTAAGTACAATTGTAAAATTAGATAAATGATTAGGGGATCTTAGGAGTAAGTGTAGTATTCAAAAGAACTTTTAATTCAAGGCTTCAGGATAGTGTCCCTTTATGTTCAGAGATTTAAGAGTTCACAGTGCAAACAGACAGACTAGCTGAAGGCAAAATAAGCCAGTACAACGTAAATTAGCAGACCTTTTGTTTAATCTTGATATATAATATTTTTGGAGGCCATCTTTTTCCCTGATTTTAAATTAGATTACAAACCCATCTCCAGCTTCCTCTCAGGTTTGAGCTTAGTCAGTCAATTTATTCAAGACATCATGGCAGATGCTCATCTTCAGACAGGATTTACATTAGTGAGGAACCCCCCCAGAGGAAACCCCTGAGTTTTGGTAAAAAGTGGTGTAAATAAGGGCACTCCCTTCAAGTCAGCATAGTGATAACACATTTTGCCATCAAGTGTGCCACTGAAAGTGTGATCCTTACTACAAAAAAAAAATCCTATGTTTTTCACAAAAACATAAGGATATTTATGCTGGTGCCCATTGCCCAACTCAATGCAATTATAAAATTGTACATACCGTTTTCAATTAAAACAACAGTACTCCTCACTTGTTACACTGAACTGCCATATAGTGTTGCATACTTTTACACTGCTGTTTTGCTTAGGTCTCAGAGGTAGCTGTCCTTTAGTGCTGGGTTAAGGGACTATCGTACTAGCATGGACTGTGAAAGCAATCTGGGATCCTTTGGGGGTGAAAAGCATATAAATTAATAATGAAAAAAATATGTGCAGAGGAGGATTTTACCAAGTACATATAACACAGGATATTCTGTTGCAATAAAACTACACATTTTAGGATCTAGTAAGAAGGTATTACTGACAGCTTGCTAAGCTTGTGAACAGCATGTATTGGGACAGGCACATGCAGAGAACAACACTGGAAGGAAGAGGCATTCAACCTGCCAAACTACAGTAGACTGAAAAAAGTGTCACAACTTTTTGTTAAGTGGCCATATATACATTTTTCTAACCAGCAGAAACTACATTTTGAGACCTGCCAGTGTACACCCATACCCAAGTCAATTAAATTTTGCCATGGATTACCAGTGTAAATACTTCACAGCACTCAAAATAAAGTACAGCACACACTTTCTTCCAACAAGTTTCAAGCCGTGCAATGCCAAATTGGAACACACTGCTATTCCATATTTTTTTATCTGTGGAGAAAGTTAAAGGAGATCTAACAAAGGCAGACACCCATAATCTAATTCCAGGGTTTTTAAAAATTATGAGGCTAAATTCCTAACGAGCTTTTTATTGGTAAGCTTTTGGGTACACAAGAAAACAATGAGCATTTGAACCCTGAAACATGCTTGCTGAAAAGGAACCCATCCTTGCTCTGTATGCCGTTTCATCTCTACCTCATTTATGACAAACGCTGCATTAAAACAAATGGACTTAACAATAAAAAGAGCCATCTCAATTTTCTGCTTTAAAAACAAATTCTATCCCCTTCAGGATGGATCATGTTTTTAATCATAATGCTTAAAGCATCCTTTTGATCAAGTAGCTTTGTCCCAGATAATTGAAGTCACACACAGGAAAAACATAAAAAAAATTCATAAACATTCCAACACATGCAACTGCTGCTGATTAACAATAAAACCTGGATGAACCCAACTGAAAAAAAAAAAAATACACGCATATTGCTAACAGACAGCAAATTCGAACAAAACACAAAACATGTAGACCTAAATTACTCTGCAACTGTGTCCAACATTACCACAGCATCACAATCCATCTAGATTCAAAGAAGCTGCAGCTGCATCCACAATGTATTAGAAGAACATACACTTCCAGGCCACACCTAAATTGCAAGAGGCCTAAAGGCAGTGCAGAACTCAAAACTCAGAGCAAGCATGTCTCACCATATGCAAGCTGCAAAATCATTTTTATGGTATGAGTTTTGTTTCAAGAATACTTTAATTAAAACTATATCTGAGCTACTGCTAGAGATGAAAAGTGACAGTACATAAGCCCAGTAAGCAGAAGAATTAGTATGACTGCAACCCAGGAAATTGATTTCCAAAAAAAGAATTGTGGGTACAGAGCTGAGCTTTTTATGGGGGAGAAATTCCCAACAGGATTCAGTAATGCTGTCTTGCTGAAGCAGTAGTTCAGGACTAGGTCCTCAAGCATTTAAAAAAAAAAAAAAAAAGTTTAATGCAACTCAGTACTAAAAGTCTTTAACAAACTTTAAACCTGAAGGAAAAAAAAAAAACTGTTTCACAGATCACTGGCCTCCTCCAAGGATACTGTCACAGAGACCATTACGTGACAGTCAAAACCGATTTAGTCTGTGGGCAGTGGCTGCAATTTGAATCCAGCCTGGGGTGCAGAGAGAGGAGGAAGCTTGGGCTAAAGCAAGACTATGTAAAAAGAGAGACTTGCCTGGAAGCAAGAGGACATTTAAATGTTGCCGAAAAGTGAAGCGAGGATGGCTGCAATCCAATACAGGGAGATCACAGACTCTTAAAAGAAATGCCGGGTCTTTATTTGATCAAACACCACACCTATGTTGGGGGCCAGGGACAGGTAGGGAACAGGGATAGCGATATATTGCGAGACTGTAGCAAACATTGGTAGACCCCTGTTAGCTACTTTAAAAGACTTGTATTAAGAAATTACTTCACACACTCTAAAGCAGAACCTCTATATAGGTTCAACCTCTTGGGAGCCAAGTGTACTTAGCCTCAGAAGAAACACACTATACTGAAAAAAGGCTCCTTGATCAGACAGCCATCTTGCATTTAAGCTTTTCTATGGTTCCAGAGATCAAATTTCTGCTTGAAGAATGCTGGCTTCATCATAACTTAGACACACTCAAAGAGAAAGAATTGCTATAAAGCTCATACTCATTTCCAAATGTCTACTTACAAAAGAGGGCTTAGGAGCATCACTTGCTTTCTTTGCACATGTAGCTATTTAGAAGGCAGAACAGCCTTGAAAACACTTGCCTGGGATCAAAGAAAGCTGAAGAACTTAAGCTTCCCAGTTTGGGGGTTTTCTAGTTATTTTACTTCCTTGTCAATGCTAGCCCTTTAGGAAGAGATGCTGATGACTATAATTGCCCTCTCCCCTATATCATTCCACAAGTTTATACTGTTATGGGTGATAAAGGACATAATCCAGCAGTTTACACCTTTGAAACATTAACTGTTCAGAATAATTATTATGGCTCTTACACTTCAACTCTAAACTGACAAAATCCTTGCTATAAATCTTCCCCTATGTAATCCAATCAGCTCTGGATGCAATTTAAGGTCTGAGCTTACAGTTTACCTTCAAAATAACTAACATCAAGACAAAAGTGAAAATCCTTGGAAGAGTCAGCATAAGAGATCTGTGCAGCAGCTTGTACTTTTTAGGGATGCATCTGGATAGCAGTAATTCTCACCTACCAACAGTGAGAATTACTTCATTCCTCTCTCTGAAGTAAACCATTTTTCCATCCCCAAAGGTTAAAAACCAAAAAACCGCAAACATATTGTGCATTACCTAGGCTTTGGCCATTCCAGCGTTTATAAACGGTTCAGCCAAACACAGTAAAACTCTCCTTCACCCCTTAATATGAAGGGAAGGCATTTGTCTTCCATGTCTTGATCTGCCCTTAATTAAAAATACATGCCATTTCCCTCCCTACCTATTCAGCTATTTTAAAATTAGTTCCTTTGTTTATACATATTCTTTCCAACTTTTGCAAGTTTATCAAGGGTCTCAAAAGATTTGATGCATTTTTAAGGCATCAGCTTCTGAAGTCAAAAGCCTCCGCTTCCTCATGGTTGTGGGCAAAAAATAGAGGTTGCATCTCTCCTAAGAGCCTTTTGTCCCAGGTGCTGACAAGCCCATTATCCCACTTTAAGTACCTGTGAAGATGACACTCTCCACTGGTCAAGGCTAATTTGAGTTAACTGACTTTCATTCCAGGGACAAGCTATTACTGTGTGCCAGTAAAGGATTGCCCTGCTCTCAGGCTTTGACTCTGATCAACGAGAACCACTTCAAATGCCACATCTTTTTTCACCCTCCAGAGACCAGAAGACAAAGAAGAGTATCAGGAGATGCCACTTCACTGTCAGGGCAGCTAGGATCTGGGACGAACTTCCAAGAGCAGTAGTGCTGGCTCCTACCCTGGGGGTCTTTAAGAGGAGGCTGAATGAACACCTAGCCAGGGTTGTTTGACCCTAGTACTCTTCCCTGCCATGGCAGGGGGTCGGACTTGATGATCTGCTCAGGTCCCTTCCGACCCGACCAACTATGAAACTATCCAAAACTCATTGTTCTTTTCACTTTGATCTCAGAGACCCGACTCACAAAAGCCTGGAATTGACAATACTCTATACTTGCTACTCATTCCTGTAGTGTTGGGAATGAGAGTAT